GATAAGTTTAATTATTAAATTCAATTATTATAATTATTATATTTAGAAACTGAAACACAACACATACAGAAAAACTGGTAACTAACAATACGAATGTGTCGAGGAAATCTGGTATGCTTACGAAGAAAGCACTTATTACAAGATAATATAACGAAGTGACAAGTTACATCAACTACCAGCATTTTCCGCCTTTTTTTTGAATATTGAATGACACTTAGTTGCCTATAAAGATAAGTGGGCTCAGCTAATTTGTGAACCTATCTCAAAAGCCCTTCTCCTAAAATACCTGAAGATGAAAAGCAGTTCTCAATTGCATGATGAACTGTCTTCTCGCAATTAGTTTATGAAAATAGCTAAGTGCAAGCTAGTTACCTACCATGCCTTATAATATTTTTTCCCAAGTGTGCTCGAATTGTAGTTATATTTCCTATGACCTCAGTCATCTACTTTTTTATTCAAATCATCACATGACTTCGGGCCTAATATTCTTTCCACACTTTCTTTAAACAAACTCATATGTTATTCTCCTCACTCACCCAATCCTATTCCGCTGTAGAACATTCACAGATAAATATGAATCACATCAACAGCAACATTCGGCACGATTCATAAAGTTGGGAAATCACTGTATCGATGGAGTTATTTACTTTAACAACTACCTTTACATACCACTAGTAATAACAACAAACGGCAATCCAATAATGAATCCTAGCGCCATATAATGCATAGGCGTCTTGTTTTGAAATCTTTAGGTTCCCTTTTTTAAGAAAAAGCTATCTTGCAGCTATCTTGCGCTCTAAATAAAAGCATAAAAAAAAGAACACTGTCCTCAGTTTATATATATAGTATATATTATTATTCATAAAAACTAAGCACATTGCTCTATATTTCTGCTCAAATTCTTCTTGTAAAAAAATTCGCTCCTGACATATTGCATTGTCTTTGTTCGACTATGAGTTGGTTTTGTTTGGATCCACTGTGCAGAGCAGCCACGCAAGCAACAACTTTTTCAATTAAGACATTCGAAATCAATCAACCAGAAGCGTTTCGATAAAAATCAACTCCAAAACCGAAAAAAGCACAACAATTTCTGATTATTGTTGCATAAAGTTTGCAGTTCAATAGCTCAATTGCAACATGCAAACAACAAAAGCAACACCAACAACACCAACAACACCAACAACATCATCAACATCAACAATATGAAAAACTCAAACATGAACAGTAGCAACAATAAAATAAAATGGACTACAATAAAATAGGTTTCATGGGTGTTTATTTGGGAAAACAAATAGAAACAAAATTTATATATAAATCCAATAAAAAAGGATATAAAAATACTGCTCCTGGTATATTGGAAACTGGCAAACTCAAAATCGGGAGAAATCATAGCTGCGCACAGCGGGTCAAGCGGTTCAAGCGGTTCAAGCGGTTCACGTGGTTCACGTGGGAATATGAAATAACAACACAACTTCGTTTTGATTGAGAAAAACTTTTATTTTAACCAAAACAATTCACTCTTAACGGTTAAATGGTCACAAAAGTTGGGCGTGATTTTGTATACGCACAAAAAAGGGTTAAACGCCAACAAAAGGAACAAAGGACAAGCGAAAATAAATCTTTAGTTTTGCAAAGTTTATTTAACAAAATCAAACCAACATAAAAACTAAATAATATCAAAAAACTCGCTTTCAAGAAAAAACAAAATTCCGGCATATTATAATAGTAAAGTAAATAAAACAAAAAGAATTAAATAAATAATGAACCATTGCGTATAGGTATATGAAAATAAAATGCTTTTTCTCTTTAATTTACTAGTAAAAAAAAAGTTAAAGATGTTAGACACCGTCACGACTGTAGTAAAGATACTTCCATTAACATAGCCACAAAAAATGTTTGTACCCTGAAGACACATCAAGCTATCGATTTGGATTGCATATGTGATAGGTTCGTTTCGGCTCAGATATGTTTAACGAAGACTCAGATATATGCAAATACTACAAGACTGCTAATCAATATAAATAGCACAAACTCATCAAATGGCGTACTTAGAGACTTAAGTATTAGATGCGTTCTAAATTAATGTTAGCGTTTGTCAAGCATAATCATAATATAATAATGGCTTGGTTTCTCAGTATGCACAAAAACTAAGGTCAAACAGAACATCAGAGATCATGTTTTCGTTGACAACAAATCAACCCCAATTATTGAGGAAATAATAATCTAATTTTATTTTATTTTCAATTACATCCTTCAAAATAGTAGAAGACTGGGACACATAGAAAAACAAACAATATATATTACATTAAGACCGAAAAGCTTTCGGAAATTCTCATTTAAAATTCGCGCGCTGTATATTTTCCGATATTTTAAGTTTATGTAGTTTGGCAGCACTGTCCTTAATTACTATGCCAAAAATGAGCGCGATCTGTCAGACAGTTCGTTTACGGCAGCTGTTGAAACCAGTTCACCTCAGTAGGGCGTTGCGAAAAAAACAATGGAAAAAAATATTGAACAAAGAGTTTGCATCAAATTTTGTGTTTCGAACGAAATTTCGTGTGCAGAATCGTTGCGAATGCTACAAAAGGCTTATGGGGAATCAGTTTTATCGAAAACTCAAGTTTATGAGTGGTACAAAGCCTTCCAGGACGGTCGTACGACCGTCGAAGACATTTCGCAACGCACTACTGAGGTGAACTGGTTTCAACAGCTGCCGTAAACGAACTGTCTGACAGATCGAGCTCATTTTTGGCATAGTAATTAAGGACAGTGCTGCCAAACTACATAAACTTAAAATATCGAAAAATATACAGCGCGCGAATTTTAAATGAGAATTTCCGAAAACTTTTCAGTCTTAATGTATGATAGGCCTGGTTTTTAGAATGGAAATAAATTTCAGTGTAGATTTTTTTCAACCAAAACCACACTTATAGTCACATATCAATAAAAACTTGGTCATAAGCTAAAATATACAACAATACGAAGAAGGTTTGCTTAGTAAATCAATTTTCACAAGGGAATAAATTATTTACGGTTACTCTTTCTATGCTCTCTAATTCTGTATTGGACTGAATCCATTTAGCAAATTCAAAACAGACATAACTCTGAATTTATAATCAAAACAGAAATGTTTAAACGCATTCATATGACTGATTTAATCTGCCATTCAACTCTGTGGACCGAAGTCATGTTGTGGATTAAGTTGGTCTACAACTAGGTCTCTGTTTTCAATCATGACAAGTCGCTACTAGCACGAGAATCCAGGTAACCGTCACGTTAAAGAGTTGGTTCATCGCTACAGCTACGGTAAGGTATCCTTTCTCAGCAGAACAGAATTGAGGTTGCTGATGGGATATTTAACAGGCTCATCATAAACTGCATTATCACCTTAACAAAATGGGTATGTCCGAAGAGATAGATTGTCGACTCTGCTTGGAAGCAGACGAGTCTTCCAGTCACATTCTCCTGGACTGCCCAGCCTGACCTGGGTCAGAAGGGGGCACTGGGTCAAGAACTACTTTCCCCTTCTGACATTAGGAGGTCCTCAACGACTGACATTTTGACTTTCTTTTGAAAGACGGAATATCTTCTGTTGGGTTAGGGTCTGTAGTAGCATAATAGGTCAACTATTGTCATGGTGCTCAGCTCCGGTAGCAGCTGGTGCCCTGTTTATTTCTATTCTAAACACACTTAATCATCTACTTTAGAGAAACTCAATAAAATAATAAAAACTGCTAAAAGTTCGAGTTTTGACATTCAAATTTATTTTTACATTGAAAATTATTAATTGATTTACATTTATGGCTGAAGTGAAGGTTGGTAAATTTATGAAAACAATCATAGTTCAACACCTATAAAATGATGACACTTTTAAATATGTAGGATTCCTTTAATTCAAAATGATCACTCATGATAACATAAAAAAGTATGATGTTTGTGGTTTAGAGTACATGTGAAAACCGTCATTTAGTTAAGTCTTTACGGTAGAGATAGATGAAAGATGATAGAGATGAAAGCATTCAAAAAACACTGAAGCCAGTTACAGTTAATGCTAAATGATTGCCTTTGCCTAACTACTTATCTCCTTTGAGCTCAAACAAATATTGAAACACCTGTCATTCATGTAATTGTTCATTACTGCAATTGTTGAACCATAACAGTGGTTCAGAGACAAACAGATCTTGAGTTAAAAAAATTCTTGTATGATTTCTAAGATTATGTGGCTAATATTTAAAAACAAAATTGGAAAAAATTAATGGATATGCTTAACGTAGTAAGAAAGGACAACTTTAAGGTAGTGACTTGTATAACCGGTTACTCGCTAATTGTCAGTCCCACTCTTATGAATTCCCTCCTGTATCCTGTAAATTTTACAGAAGATGTGAAAATGAGGAGAAGAGGGAAACAATATAAAACATATTCACTAAAAGAAGTACGAACGCCCTGACCAAATAAATCACTTACTTTCACTCAGAGATGTCGAGTGCTAAGGTTAAAAGCTTATTGCTAAGTATGTTGGGTAACTACGACGACTATCGTAGATACAATACCCTTAAACCCATTCTGAAACATCAGTTTTTTGTTTGAAGGTGTATTACTAAAAGGATATATAGATGGAAAATAACATTTATAGGAATGAAAGCTAGTGCCCACGTACTTCAAATATCTCGTTCTGAGGGTACTTCTACTGAGAGTAGTTCTACTAAAGATAGTTATAACTTACATTGCAATTGTGGAAAGCATAAAAAACATTATTCGCCTATGAATTGTTCCATAGGCTATTTCTAATAGTTAGAGAGTCGTAGGTAATGTGGTCTCAATGGATTCATATTCTAAAAGGAATTCCTAAACGATTGATTTCATGGAGTAACAAAATCAAAAAATTTGCAATATAGAAACTTTTTAAAAATTTGGAAATTTTTGAATGAGTAGCAATCATTGAATTATATGTCTATATAAAGTAAATAATTTTAATATCAATAATATAAGTAAGCCGTGTTTCAGATCTTCTTTTCGACTTTAAAATCTTTAGCCTAAATTGCGTTTCCTTTTAAATACCTTTATCAGATGTCGTTTTATTGAGTATTTAAAGGGAAATCGCAAGATCAAGAGTTGGTGCCTTTGTGTTACTTGGGTCTTTCGGACAAAATTTTCAGTGTTCTAAATTTTTTGTTGATTATTAAAATAAATAAATTTTGGAAAGGAAAGTATTTCCTGTGGAGTATTATTAAACGTAAGTAAAGAAATAATCAGCAGAAATATGAATTATCAATAAAATCAATTTAATTAAATGTCAAAAAAATTAAATAAAATGTGCATTTTTTTCTTTCAGTTAATGTTATAGTAAAAATTATTTTTGTACGATTTAGATTTTTTTAAACTATAAAATTGTTGAGTTAGTATCCGAAATACTTTGGTTATTGGAGAAAAATAATTGGAAAAGGCAGTAATCAAATAGTTATCTGGTAAGTTACTTTTTATATAATTAACGTTAATTGTGTATTATTTTAACAGCAAAATAAATTATTAAAAAGCTCTCCATATGTTATAATACAATATTGAGTTGAGTCCAAATCATCAAAGATTCTGCGACACTCATGCTTAAACCTGAAATTTAGTCCAACCAAATTAGCATGAAACTTTTGGAATATAAAAAAATGTTTGCCTTGGCATTTAACATATTGGCCAGACGTTTGCAAAGATGACGGTCTATTTAACTCTAGATACTGTTGGTCATAAGTCATGAAGACCGCTTTTTTGTTTGTGAATATGTCGTCCCTTTTACATTAATTGATTTTTAAAGTATTTAGAAAAGTTATAGAGTACAGTCTTTTTATTTATTTAAATTAATGCTTAAAGCTGAAATTTAATCCAACCAAATTAGCATGGTATGAAGCATGTGTCTTTCATTACCTTTCAGGTATCTTTCAACAGGACCCAATTGCGATATTAAGAGAACTGCTTAGACAGAAAATGCAAAATATGATAGAAACTAATATGTTCTTAATTTGCCATGAAATCTCATCAGTGATAGTAAAACTTTGTCATGATTCACGTAATAAATTTGATAATTTAAATATCTATTTAAAATAATATAAAATATTCCAAAGCAAAATATTAATTATAAAAAGACTTCCCTCATATAATTACAATAATACCTTTGATACCTTTACAATCTTACTAACCGATCTTATCTTACTAATCTACTAATCTTTCTAATCTAATATCATATGACTTGTTATCAATTCTGTACTTGATATTACATGTCCAGCTTCATTCTATTCCATAGAATATTGTCATATGTGCTACAAGATCAGGGTGTCTAGACTGCTCACCACTTGGTAGAAAGGTGTTTTTTAAACTGTTAACTACGGGTGAAACAGGATGAAATGGATACTGAGGGTATCCTCGTTGGTTTTTGACCAACATTAATGCAATATAATATGTTTCTATAATATGTAAAAAAATTTAATCTGAACTTCAAGGTGTTAGCAACTTGAAATTTAAATATGCAAGAAAGTGGATTAAGCAGATCCTTTAGGTGATGACTTGCAATTATTTATGGAATTTTATTACATGACAATAATTACAAACGAAATTCGAGCAGAGATCAAGTTTTATTCAGCTTTAGGAAATAAATATAATTAAGAAGCCCTTACCTAAATTTTAAAATTTATATAAACAATTTAAACAAATTATGTTCCTTTTCCAACCCAATGTGATATGTTCATATAATCCCTAATATTATTTTCACTATATCCAAAGCAAGAAAATATTTATGTTATTTAAAATAGTCTGACTAATACGTATATTAACCAAACTTTTTAACAAAAAAAGTGTTGAAAGCACAAAATAAAGATCTATAACATTATTAAATAAGACTCATCATGAAACATTCTTTAAATTATAAATAAAGTCGTACATATTAAATCCAGTTTAAATAGATGATATTTACAATATAATCAATTTTAACTTGTGAATATATGGGTATTATAAAGTTTTTGTCGGTGGAAAAGTTCACAACATCTGAAATTAATCTCCAATATTGATTTCATCATGCATTTGGGCCACCGTTACAAAAAATTTATTGATGTGGTTTCGTACTCTCAGACTATATGCTTATCTTCTCTGTTGCAAGAAAACGTTGTTGTAACATATAAATGAATCTTAAGTCTGGAATGCTAAGTTTTAGAAGTACGTAGACGTGGTATCCATTACTGTGATGTTATGCTTCATTACAAGATCTTGGATACACAAAAAGTCTTTGAAATAAACATTACAGTCAGTGATTTTATTCTCAAATCATTCGTAAAATTCGATTTGCAAAGCAATAGGTCAATCTTCATTCTTCAGCAACTTGTCAAATGGTAATTCCTTTACTAGCAAGGACATACTGCTGAGTGTCCTTAACTATCTTTAACCTACGTTATGCATGTCCTTGATAATGCCAAATTAAATAAAGTAAATAATATGAGGGAAAGGCAATACATTAATCATTAAAGCTATATGAAACATTTAGTTATTTTTAATGGTTTGATATAATAATTCAAAGTTACGACAAAAAAGTTTTATATTATTTTATATATATTATATATATTATTGTATCATACTATTTGGCATTATGACATTTGGTATTCCAAATGTGATTTTTGAATTATAAGAGTTTTTTTATTTTTTGCTTTTAGTCCATTTCCGCTAATCGGTGCTTGAATCATGTCGAGCGGTCAACCAAAAGGCAAAATGGAAGGTAGTACCAAAAAAACAGCGTCCAAAAAGGAAGTAAGGTCCAAAGTATCCATTGCGGTAAGCAATTATATATTTATATATATATATATATATATATATATATATATATACATTGTATATACTAATACATAGTCAAAGTAAATACTTAATTCGTTTTTAGGGATCCTTATTAGAGATTGAGGCAAGGGTTAACTCAGTTACATCAAACACTGATGCTATAATTTCTTCCATGTCGTTAGTTCCGTCTAAATCTGCCGTGGTCTCTCTAAGACCGTACAATTCCTTGTCTAAAAGTATTTCATGTTGCAGCTTAAATGGTTCCAATTTTGACGATCACGTTTCCTTGTCCCAACACTCATCTGACCCAATTGATAACTTTGACGATGAGGATAGTGCCTTCTTTTCCGCCTATAATTTGGATTTGGAAGAGGATATTGATGACATGACTATTTCACCAGAGATTAGAGAGAGAATCATTCAAGAGCGCAACACCATTAATAAATTTGTTGCTGCACTACGCAAGATTCGCAAGATAACTACCGATTGAGCTGGACTTTGCAATACAAGTTTGTTGAATCTTCGAAAACCTCCATGTCACTACAAATTCAAAATTTTCAATGTTTTCAATAATATTTTTTTAGGTGCGATTTTTTAAATCTTAAGTTTCACAGCCCAAAATTTCAGTATTTAACAGAAAAATCAAAACATTTTTTAAGCATAAATTTTACACCTAATAAATAGTTCAAATTTTGCTATTAAAAAAACTTGCTCAGCTTCATAATTTAATACGGTTTTACAGAGATTAAAAGAAAATGGGGTTTTCAAAAGGAAATAAACATCGAAGTTTTTCTCAAAACTGATCATTAAATCATATGTCGCTGCGATAATATCGAGTAAATAAATTGTACTCATAGAGCACTCCCGATATAGATCTTCTACTGATCGAAGCGAGATATATATATATATTAATAGGAGTTTTATTGTGGTTTGCATTAAAACTTTATTCGTTCGAATTGCACCATTGAAAGAATACGTATAGTGGCATCTGCGTAATACTAATGATGAAAGCAGCATCTGATATCTTACTTCATAATTAATAAAGTTATAATCTTTCTGAAATATATCACTTTTACTCACTAAGATGTGTTTATTACTGCACCATCTTTGTTTCATTGTTTTGTGATTCAGTTAAAATTAGGATAAAATGCCTCGTAAATCTTTACTCGCCATCTCTACTTGGTTAGTGAAAAAACGATACCTCAAGACATTGAAATCGCTGCCTTAGTAATCCTGGAAAAAGACAGACAGTGTTTGATTGATTCCTACTCCTCTTCAATATGGCAGCTTCTATTGTTACTTCCTAATAATTTAATGATTGTTTTCACTGGGTTTACTTAAAGAGCAATAACCTTTTTAAGTCGCATTATTCTACCTTTAAAGTGGATACCACTAATTGTGCTTTTAATTTTTAAGCAAATGACCCCTAATGACTATTGATACTTAATTGGTGATAATATTTAACTGATATTCACATCAAAAATGATAAACTGTCATGTTTCACAAAAAAAATTATTATGAAATATAGGAATAAAATTAGATGTCGCTGTATAACAAATCCAAGTTAGGAGTTCATTATTAATACATGATACGCAAAATTTGATTTGCATGTATTTTAGATATTATTTACAATTCAATCCAAAATAAATTCAAAAATTTATTCATTAAGAAAGGTAAAGAAATATTTCCTTAAATAATGAAGGAAATACTCTACTGTAGAAGTTAACGATTGCAACCAGAGATAAAAAATCATTGACTTCACTCGTAAAACTGTTGCTTGCACAGCTGCTACTCTATCAGGATACGTGGTAACGTTTTTCAGTATCAAACTGCAAAAAGTACTACATTATTCATTAAATTTATGAGCAAACATCAAACTGGATGAAATTATTATCAAAAAAGATAGTACATTCCTTCCATATTCCACCGCTATCAATGCCAGTTCCATTGTCTAAGCCGGTGCCTGCGTTTCTGTCTTTATGTTGTGAATCCTTATGCATCAAAAGAGGCAAAAATATTTCAATTCATGCAAACTGTAATGTTTGCTTTTACTTCCATTGCATCCTTCCTTCCATTGTTTGGCAATCTGTGCAGTTCTCTGTAGATATCCGAGGTACAAAACAATACCGTACAACTGCATTTTCAAATATAAACGAATTGTTCGGTTGTGGTCCTGTTGCGTTGGCTATCACCAAACAGAAATAAACTTACCTCTCCTCACTACTGGTTACGAAATAATCAATGGCTTTTATTGGTACTATCAGAATTTCAACTTTCCTTTTTGTGGGAGATTGATAAGCAATCCATAAAATGTCTCATATCTTAGAGGAAACAAAAATGTGAAAAACAGTTTTTACAACTCCATAATATTTATGTGACTGATGTCGTTATCTGTTTACGTTATCTTGGTTTTCACTAGATTTTTATCAATTTATCTACCACAAGGCATTTCTTTAGCAGTTACTTGTAGATGGTAAATATTTCTTATCTTCTGTTTCGCAACAGGATATTGCATATATTTATTCAGTAGTTCTGTATTCATAGTTAACAATTAAATGGACTCATATTCTCATGCTTAAATAGAAGCAACAAAAATTTGATCAATTTTAATAATTACTAAGACGGTGTACCAACAGTGTAAACGGTATCTTTAGACAGTACAGCTCACATAAAAGAGTATTGGGAATATAACACTCCTTGTTTGGGACCGAAAACTAATCCAATGTAAAGTATATTCCAATAAGCTTTCAATGAAGATTGCGAATATAGCACTCCTAGTTTGGAGTTAAAAAGTAATCCTACAATTGACTGAATTACTCCAAGATTCAAGAAAAAATTGGTTCAGAAAGCATTAATTCCAACACATACACTACAGATTGACATAATCTTAGTAAATATTTAACAAGCTCTCATATTCATATCTACACAGATAGTTAAGTAACAATCAAAGCATCATCTATAAAACGTTGCAACTACTGACAAACGAAATCTGGATAGTACTTTGGTCTGGTCTGGTCGTAGTTATATTGACGACAATCAGCAATACAATTCTGTACAGTGGAGCTTTATTGCGCTGTCTTTAAGGATACAAGCAATATTTTGACAGAAAATTGGGCAGCGACTATAATAATTATATCTTATATTCAAGATTTGTAATTATCTGCTCAGTTCTTTTAGCCATTATTTCGAAAATTTTATTGAGACATGCCGACTTGTTTGAACTGAATAATCATATTGTTAACATTGGTAACCGCGAAATTCACTATAATCTTCCTTAGCGATGCATAACTGAGGCAACAGGAACTTGCTTTTACGTTTTTATATTTTGAATCATATTTTGTGTATTTAAACACAAATTATTGAGGCACACACATGAACGAAGGTAACTTCCATATTAAATTAACAGACATATACATCTCTAATGATTATATATAAAATTTATTGCCACTTACCTGAAGTCTGATTTCGCGTAACAGTGACCCAAAAAGCGGCACTGGAGTGTATTGCACTGATATGGTTTCACTTTACCCTGCACTTCATACGTGATATTAAAGCCATACACATCTAATAAACGGTCCAAAGCACGTAGATGGGTGCCATCAAGTGACGGCATTACAAATCGTATTTCCAGATATTGACTGTTGAACTGCACCCATGCAACTTGTGTTACATCATCCTCAGTTAACGTGAAAACTCTATGCGCTGGAACTTTGTAATCATCTGAGTAGTACATGTACTCGGTGAATTTAAGACCACCAAGCACATAAAGCTGCGTTAAGTAAACAACTATGGACACGTTAGCAGTGGCACCACCCGCACCACCTGTGCCTGGCAATTCAGAGGCGTCAATCACCCAAACACACTCAATTGGTGTCTGATATCTGTGTGGGAAGTTGGGTGTTTGTATGACACCAAAAGCTGATTTGAAAACCCCACCACATGAGCGCTGGGCGTAGGGCACATTCGAAGAAGAGCTAAATGCATTCATAAACTGCGGCAACGCCGATTGATTCGAATTCCCAGTAAATGGTGATATTGCAAAATTAGATGGCAACGGTGGCGGCGGTGGTAAGGGTACAGCGCCGAAGCTTAGTTTATGTTCAAAATCATATGTTTGGGCGTGTTCAGTGACTTGTTGTCGTTTGAAACGTTGCCATTTACTTTTGGTGGAAATTAAGTTGTCATAACGAAGCGTCGTATATTCTGTACTGGAATTTCTCTTAACATTTTTAGTAGAGTGAAGTTTCTTACTACTCCGCACGAGTTCATTTTGCTGATATGTATGCGCGAAAACGTTATTTTGGTCAAAATTATTTAGCAACCTAATCGTGTCAGCACCTAAGTCCTTGGAAACTTTTTCCGCTTTCGTTTTTGTTTTTCCATGATTGCCGAGTTCTGTAAGAATCGCCGGCTCAATCTTTGTTTCAATGCCTGACCATGGTTGCAGAGATATTTTTGCTAGTTCAAATAGTTTTAGTGTTCTAGATTCCTGTTCCTTGGATAGATATGGCACTATAGTGATATTAACAGTTTGATTTTTGTGAAATATAGTGTTTTCTGCTTTGATGACGAGAAGCGCAGATGGTGAGAAAATAGTGGCCACTAAGAGCACGTACAGCAGCGGATTTGATGAAAATGTCGTCATCGACATTGACTTAAACAATTGCCACTAAGTTTGAGTTCCGAAATCGCTGATATGAAGTGTGGTTTTTTATTTGGTCTTGATATTCTTCTTACACATTTACTGATATGATTCTACTAAGTATGTAGTCCGCATCGTCTACGAATGACTCCGAACTTGAGGATAAGTGTGTGTCCTTATAAGTTCGTTATACATTTTTATATTATAACTGCAAGAAAGTAAAAAAAGACAAACAGTTTTTAAATCACATTTTTTAAGTATAAAATATCTTAATAAAAAAATTCGTTTCAATTGTGATAAGACACCAAATTTTAAACAAATCTAACACGGATTACAAACTATACTGCGTGCAAATCAAGAATAGCCCCGCAGTCGTGCGCATTTATGGCGCACATTCAATGGATAAAATAAAATACCTTAAAGTGAGTTTTTTTAACATTGAATTTCCTAAATGAATGCAAAAGCTATTTTAGTTGAAAAATTGATATAGAACGGACCTTGACAGCGTCACAAGAGGAAACTGAACAAACACTGAAAGGAAGGACATCTCAAAAACAATAACGCATTCCGCTAAATGCGCGAAATTCGTTGACCAATGCGAGTTGCGCTCGTCACACTCACATCAATGCAATCAATGAACATGGGAATTTTTGTACAAATTTGACCTTATAAATATTGCAAGTGAAACGGGAAGTCATCAGGACGCAAGCATGTGTTCCTTCCGTTCGGCAACATTGAAATGCGCAATGAATACAGAAAAGTGCCGAATGCATATCAACACAATCCAAAATTGATCAAGACTATGTCAGAAATTCAAATTTTTTTTTATAGGTTTTACGAATTTTTACAATTTTTTATGCACTGCGTTCCAGCGCAGAAAAGAAGCGTTGCCATCCCATCAAAGCGAACGTAAAACTTACTCAACAAACAGCTCTGTTCGTACTAAGCTCCTCCTAGAAGGCCCTGAAGACACGTAGTCGCCATAGCATATATTTCGGAAATCACTTTCATGACAGCAGACTATGACCATGGCGCCATGCCCATTTTACATTAGTCCATTACATA